TGTCCACTTTGTAGTTAAGAAATCCGGTCGGTTGGCCAGAATCGCCGTACCCTCGGGTGTCCACTGCTATCACGTGATAGTCTTTGGCGAACTCTTGGATCTGATGTCTCCACGAGTACCAGAACTCAGGGAATCTGTGTATGAAAAGCATTGTCTGATTGTTTTCGTTGCCTTTCGATACGTAATGAAGTTTTATATCCTTTTTTATCGATTAATTAAATAAATTTTTAATTATGTTTAAATAATTTTGTTTAATATTTTTATCGTAAATACTTTAAGTTGAATGTAATGATGAGCGCCGAGGGAGGGCTCGAGCAGACAATTTGGGGGCAAATCGCGTACTTTTGTGCGAAAATAATTACCACGATTTCTAATTATGCTGTATATCATATACAGTGTAACCAGAAAGCCGTACATCACTTCAATTATCACTACTTTAATCCTTTAGGAAAGCGGTATGTCTTCGTCCCTCGCAATGGTCATTGTCTTAACGTTTATTTCATAACTCATTGTTAGTCCGAAAATTTTAATTCAATTATTTTACTACATTTGATGCAAACTTTATTTCAAAAGAGGCAAATTTCTAACCGTTAATATCGTAGGTATAGACAAAAATTTTATGGTAATTGTTTGTTTGTTTGTGTATTCAAATTTACTTGAAGGGCATTAATATACATGTATTAACTAATCAAGTCTATTATAAACGGGTTTATTATTATCTATATTTAGTTATTTTATTTTGTTGTTTACAATATAGCAATAGTTAAATATTATAGCAATTAAAAGCATATATAGGAAACAAATTATTGTGGTTTGGTAAATTATAACTCATATTTGTTTCGTTTTAAAGTAATTTATAAATTAGAAACATGAAATTAGTGATGGCTGGACTCTTATGCAATACTTCCCTATACCGTAATTACTATTAAATTTTTAATTAAACTATTTAAGTAAAGTTAGCATACTTCAAAATGATAAAAATCATTATATTGAGCAATAAATAAGGATTAATAATTTAGGTGTAGATTAACATTAGATCATTAAATATCAATAATGAATTTTGTTTAATATAACTTTTCAAGGTATAATTTTACACTGTATGATCACAAATATCAATTTAAAATAATTTAAAATAAATAAGGTTAACAACATGAAAAATGACAAATTATTGAAAAACATATTAAATTCATTTCAACAGTGTTTGAATGGTTATTCCATTAACTTTGAAATTTAAGTGATGCACACAATTAATTTTGCATTTATTTCAAACAAACAAACTCATGGTAAATCAATAAAACTTCAAATTATTAGAACAAAATATTTTTGCCATTTAATTAAATAGGGAAAATACTATTAGTTATACTATAGTAATAATAATTACTACTGATGAAAATAAAACATGATAATTACAATATACTGTAATGGAAACAGTTATTTGGAAAAACATTTTCTACTCTTTTGTGAGAAATTGCCGCACAAATTGGTTGACCAGCTCTGGCTCTTCCAGTGCTACCCAATGACCGGCCGTTTCGATATACTTTACGGTCAAATCATTCACATAAGTGTATACTTCGGCCAATTTTGGGACTAGAAATGTATCTTTTTTACCTAAAAACAAATTAATTGAATTATTTCCCAATTGAAATGATTTTAACAAAATAATTAACAATAGAAATTGCGAAAATCATTACCCCATATGCAAAGTGCGGGCACTATTATATTGTCCATATGGGATGTCTGTCGAGGGTATAGCAAAAATGGATTAGCACGGTAATATTTTATTGGTGCCAACACCCCATTACGTTGAATAGTGTACTTATAGGCCTCCATGTCCTCCATAGACAACAACTGACGTCCGGATCCACTTCTAAAGAGTTGATCGGTTGCCCCGTAATAGTCGCATAACTTGAGCCCAAACTCGGGCACCACTGGTATATTAAACACAAATGCATAATACGATAAAAATAACTGACGCCAACCCTCCAGCCGTACGTCCCGATACATGAGCGGTAGGGGAGCGTTCATTATGATCACCCGGTGGATCAGGTCAGGGTGTTTGGCCGCTATTAACCACCCGATAATACCGCCCCAATCGTGTCCGACGACAATTACATGCGATTTGTTTAGTGCCGACAATAGTTGCCGGAAATTGTTGACCAGAGTGTCGGCGGCGTAACGCTCGACACTCGCGGGTTTGTCTGTATCGCCATAACCGGGACAGTCGACAGCTATCACGTGATAGTCTTTGGCGAACTCTCGAATCTGATGTCTCCACGAGTACCAAAACTCCGGGAATCCGTGTATGAAAAGCATTGTCTGACTATTTTGCTCTCCATTTGACACGTAATGCATTTGTATATCCTTTGAAATTGTGTTTAAAATTACGGTTAAATTTTGCTAAAATTGCAATTTTTAATTTAAATCAAAGGAAAAAACAAATTACTAAAAATGTTTGCAATGAAAATATTTGCATTTGATTTTGTATTCTAACAATTGTGGGTATGTTTAGGCAGAACAATAGTTAACATGGTTTAGACTTAACATTAAGTTGTATGAAGTGATGAGTGCCCAGCGATGGGTCGTGGAGACAGTCCGGAGGTGTCTCCCGGCGCTGAACACGTATTAATTTTAAAGGATTTGTAATTATAATAAACAACTCATACAAACTACTGTACGATAGGAATAGTAATTGCATTGAAATGACTTTAATTCTGTCCCAAATAGATATCGCTTGGATTTTGGGACTCGGAATCGATTCGCAAGTAATTTCAATATTCATTGATATTTATTAAATAATTAATCTTGTTAAATGGTATTCAATTTATATCTATTTCTATTGTAACATTTCTTATTATAATATTTTTATTGCTAGTTCATATAATTGTGATTTATGTATACTTTAATTATACTTTTAACATATTCACAGAACACGCAGACAATAAGCTTATGTTAATTTAGAGTTTATTATCTAATAATATAAATGCAAATAATACAATACAATGTAAATATAAATGTAAATTTATAAAAAATAACTAAATATGCTAACATTTATAAGGAAACAACTAATTCCTGTTTATAACAAATGACATTTATGCGTCACTATATTATAACTTGTCTAATTAATTTAACATTATTAATTTTTTAGTATTAATGCTTTATTAAGTAATTTATATAGTTTTCATATGTATAAATGCAAACTTAATTAAAACAATAAACCATTTTTAGTTATTGGCGAGAAATTGTCGGATCAATTGGTTGACGAGCACCGGCTCTTCGAGTTGCACCCAATGGCCGGCCGTTTCGATATATTTTATGGTCAAATAATTGACATAAGCGTACACTTCAGCCATTCTTGAAACCAGAAATCTGTCTTTTTTGCCTAAAAATAGATAAATAAATTATTTTTAAATTAAAAAAAAAACATTTACTAAACTAGAAAAACATAACAATTATACCCCATATATGAAGTGCGGGTACTTTGATTTGATCCATTTTGGGTGTCTGGAGAGGGTATAGAAATGCAGGATTGGCCATGTACCAATTCAGGGGCGCTTTCACTCCATTACGTTGAATAGTGTACTTATAGGCCTCCATGTCCTCCGCGGACAACAACTGACGGCCGGAACCGCTTCTAAAAAGTGCATTCGTCGCCCCGTAATAGTCACAGCACTTGAGCCCATACTCGGACAGCACCGGTATATTTAACTGAAATATTTGCCATGACTTGAAAAATTGTCGCCAACTCTGAAACCTCACGTCTCGATACATAAGGGGTAGCGGACCGTTGATTATGACCAGTCGATCGATCAGCTCCGGGTGTTTGGCCGCCAACAGCCACGCGATAGTACCGCCCCAGTCGTGGCCGACGAGAATTACTCGCGATTTGTTCAGTTCGACCAAAAGTTGCCGCAATTGGTCGACCAGAGCGTCGTGGGTGTAGTGCTCGACACCCGGAGGTTTGTCTGTATCGCCATAACCGGGACAGTCAACAGCCATCACGTGATAGTCTTTGGCAAAATCGCGGATCTGATGTCTCCACGAGTACCAGAACTCAAGGAATCCGTGTATGAAAAGCAATGTCTGACTATTTTGCTCCCCATTTGACACGTAATGCATTCGCAAATCCTATGAAATTAAGCTTAAAATTGTAGTTATTTTGTTGTAAACCCATTACTTTGTCTAACATTAAGTTGTATGAAGTGATGAGTGCCGAGCGATGAGTCCAGAAAGCAGTCCGGGGGCGCCTCCCGGTGCTTACCAAACATAAACAACAGCGGGTTTATGATTATGATAGACAACAAATGCAGACAACTATGTGGTAAAATTATTAATTGAATTAAAACCACTTTAATTCTCTGCCAAATGGGTATCCCTTGAATTGTTGCGCTTGGAATCGGTTCAGTAGTTATTTCAACGTTCATTATTATTATGGTATAAACTCTGCGATTAATTTAAATTTAATTATCTAGCTCATTGCCAATACCATCATGTTAATTGCAATAGTATTATGATTATTGTAGCAAATATGTATTTTCACCTATTAGCATAATGTAAGTACCGTAATATAAATTTTAAACTAATAATGAAACTTTATGTATAAATATGTTTGCATTCAAAGGCATTTTACATAAACAAAATTACCTGTTTTAATAAATAACACTTGTTTTCTGCATAATTTTATACGGTTAAAACATTTGTGTCTGTAATACAACATGGTTTGATATAATTTTGCCAATACCCTTGTCTGTCAATATATAAGCGCATTTAAATTTTAAACAGATTAATACTGTATATTGATTGCAGTGTATAATAAATATTTCAAACAATTATTATGGTTCTTAATGCTCTTGGTGATTTTTATTTGAAACAAATTGCTCAGAGATTTAATAACGATAAAATAAAATTTCTCCAGAGTCTATAATCAATTCATAAAAGTCCTTGGTTTATTATCAAATTGTAATTTTAAAATGAAACACAAATTAAGTAATCGGATGACAATTTATATTTATAAAATCACTACTTCTTGGACACAAATTGTCTCATATATTGATTAACAAGTGTCGGCTGATCCATCTGTGTCCAGTGGGAACAGTTATCGATGTAATTCACAGTTAGGTCATCGACGTAGGCGTGTGCCGGTGCCAGCTCTGTGGTCAAGTAATTGTCTTTTTTACCTACAAAAAACAAATACATATTTAATATAGGTAATTACAAATTTACATACAGGTAAATCAAATTAAGACCAAAATCAAATCATACCCCAAATGATAAGTGTAGGCACTTTTATTTGAAAACTTTTGGGCTGTTGTTGTGGGACGCGGTGTATGAGCGCCCGATACCAGTTCAACGGTCCGGTGAAACCGTTTTTGTGAAACGTGTATTTATAGGCCTCCATGTGTTGGGGGTCGTCGGCGAATAGGGGCCGTCCGTCGCCGTTGCGGAACGAGTGGTCAAATATGAAGTAATCGTTACTCCGGAGAGCAAACTCTGGCAGCAAAGGGAGGCTGAAGAACAACATATACCACGAGTAGAAAAACTGTTTCCAACCCTTTTTCTGGGACTCGGCGAACATCAACGGGTGGGGGCTGTTAATGATGACCAGCTTTCGAAGCAGTTCCGGGTGTTTGGCGGCGAAACCCCAACCGATGGCACCGCCCCAGTCGTGCGCCACCAAAACCACGTCCCGTTTGCCTAACGCTTCCACCAATTGTCGCGTGTCCTCCACTATCGCGCTCACCGTATAGTTGTGAATACCCCGGGGTTTGTCTGTATCGCCGTAACCCCGATTGTCCACTGCTATCACGTGATAGTCTTTGGCGAACTCCCGGATCTGATGTCTCCACGAGTACCAGAACTCCGGGAATCCGTGAATGAAAAGCATTAACGGCTTCTTCTCGTCCCCTTTGGACACGTAATGCATTTTTATGTCCTATTATTTTAAAATGAAGTTGAATTCATTGAGTTAAATTGAAATTAAGCATTTTTAAATGCAATTTCTAAATGTAAATTAAACGTTACCTTAAGTTGTATGAAGTGATGTGTGCCGAGTGTGGGATCAGTGAGACATTTGGGCGGCGCGTCCCGGCGTTTGATGCGGAAATAGTTGCCCCGATTTTTAATCATGCTGAATATGAGATACAGCGATACTAGAAACCCATAAAATATTGCTATACCCGTCACCACCAGTTTCTCCACGGGTGACACTTTTTTGGTAAACACATTGTCTTCTTTCGTCTCTTTGGCCATATTTTGGATTTTTTGTGTAGATTTCACTAAACAAATTGTCAGTAAATCCAGCTAGGTTGTTGAAAAGTCATTCAATTGACCAATTTAATGTATTGAAATTTCAATATAAATGATTAGTGCTAGATGCACTAAACTTTGTACTTATGAAATACACAAATAAACTGTATTTTACTATTGAATAATGTTTTGAAGGGCACTCTCTTTTCCTCTTAATGTATATCTCTTTATAGTAAATCAATGGTAACTTTGTATGAGGTCTCCGCCCATCCCTGTAATCATATCAATTTAAACACTTTATATTTTGACTATTTAATTATTTTAGGAAAACAAAGTTTACAATGTACTCACCTTGGACACCTGATGCACTGGAATAGTTTAGCGTTAATACTCTAATGCAAATGTATTACAAATGTACTTGCTCATATTTAATTCATTTTGAGATTAACTAAAGATTAAGTTAAATTTTATTATATTTTTATTTAGAGAGTCAAGTATTCACCAATTGGTGCTGTTCTTACATAAACTCTTATTACATATAAAATTATTTAAAATACAAAACAAATTAATACAATACAAACAAACAAATAGATACAAATACAATACAAAAATTCTCTTGTTTAAAATTGTCTAAATACAAAGTTATATCATATTTAAAGTAATAATAATTTAATTTTACTTTACTTTATGATAAGAAATTTGTTTTTATTCAATATTTAAAATGTACATGCTTGAGATTTTTGATAAATATTTTAAACATATTCTATTAATTAAACAATATTATTTAGTTTTAATTAATTGTCATAATTAAAAGGTTTTTATTTTATAACCATATCGTTTAGCATATTTAGTAATTTTAATTTTAAAAACTTAATTACTTTAGTTTAATTACAAATAAACATGCAAATACTTTTATTTAATTAAATATGTTTAATAATAATAATTATACAAACCTAATATACAGTAAACCTACGATAAAATATAGAAATTATACAGTATTGCTAGATAAAATAAAAACGATATGAACAATACGATTGCGTAATGTATTAATGTTGCCAAACGTTGTCACAGCGTCACAGAATATGAATGTTACTTTATGGTGAGGCAATGCTATGAACATTATATTGTACAGATATTGTAAAATTGTAAAATGAGATTCACCATTTAATGCATTAACAAACAGAATTCATGTCAATCTGTCTATTAAAACAACATTTAATAACTTACATCACAATAATTATGATGTTTACCTGAAATATACATAACTAGCATAGTTTTAATTAACAAATTTAATTTAATCAAGTTTGTTTTGTCAACAAAATATCATATTCTGTGTGTTGTTGTGGAAGTGATGGCAAAGAATTACTACAATATATTAGGAGTGTTGAGGACTGCGAGTCAGTTGGACATCAAGAAGGCGTTCAGACGACTGGCCCTTCGCTACCATCCGGACAAAAATGGCAACAAAAAGGCCACCGATTTGTTTAAGCAGATTCTGGAGGCCTATCAAGTGCTCGGAGATTGCGGTAAACGTAGCGCTTATGACCGCAACTCATATCCCAACCAAACATTCCCTCAAAGAT